GTGGTTGAATTAATTATGTTGCATGTCATGACAAACTGCATATGCTTTCGATTATTTACAAATAAATAGGAGGCATCACCATGTCGATATATATTGAGCATACAATAAATAAATATTGAAGCAAGAGAAAACTCTCAAGCAAAATGCTAGCAACAATGGAGCAGGATTTGTGTCACGCCCCGAACTAGTCCCGAGCGGAACTAGCCCGTGACGCTCCAAATTAACCTGTTAATCGATACCAGTCCCAGGAAACAGTGCTGGTATCACAGGAAGACAGAATATCACAGCAACAGAGGTCTCTTTATTATGGAGTAGGAGTACAGTCATGTTGGGCTGCGGACAGATCCCAAGCTCACAACTGCATTACAAAAGGGAAACGGAAGCCAAGACTTGGACCAGACATCACAGGCGCGACTTGGGAACTAGGCCGAAACCCTAAAACTCATCGTAGCCGGCTTGCTCCTGGAAGAACTCCTCGTCAGCGGGATCTGCTTCATCTTCTTCAGCAACTGGGGGGGATTATTTATATAGAGCAAGGATGAGTACGGGAGTACTCAGCAAGCCATGGGAAATAAGTGTTTAATGCAGGCTTCAAGGAAAGGCTGTTGTTTTTGCAATTGATTTTATTTAAACTCTTTTCTGAAACAACTAAGTGAGTGCTTCTCAAACGACACAGATGAGACAGTGCGTCTCGTCCGGTCGGAGTATGTGCAAGGTATCAGTCTTTTGAATTGATCAAGGTTGGCACCCGACCAACGGCTTTTAAATGGCCACCCGGGCCTGGCTGATCCCATCAGCCGCAGGTTTTCCAAACATCGAATCCAAACCACATCAGCAAATTTCACAAGCAGTAGTCAAACAAAACTACGCTAGGAATCACCTCACATCCGCCCATGACCGTGGGCACGGCTGTTCGAACAGTTTAATAACCTCTGCAGAGGGGGTACACCTTACCCACACGACATTACTAACCCGGATCATCCAGCCCGTGCAGAACGGCCACGACTAGAGACCTTAAGGCTTTCATGACAAGGCATTTCGAAAGCCGATACAGGTTCACCATATGCCAACGAGAGGGGTCCCAGACCAACATCAGATTAGGTCCCAGACCATACTGTGCCAGGAAACCCGGGGGTCCTCCCCGACACCACCCCGTTGAATCCACATGTCTCTTGGCATCATGGCTCCCCCGATTAGCTAGTTACTCAGCCAGGGGTGTCCCATTCCACCCATGTGGTCGTACTTGTCTTATGTTTGGATGAAATTCCAAGGAAACGGTCCTTAAGTGCAAGAGCGGGAAACCGTACACCCGGTACGTTCCCCGGTCTGCGATTTTGGAAATTCATTTAGGTTCGCAAGCACCGACCCAGGTGTCGGGTTTTCCAAGTCTTTTGTAAAACCCAAGTTTTACCCAAGATGTTTCTCAGATTTTAAGTTTGAAGGCGTCTGTCGATACTCGTGCAGAGTGCACGATTACCGAGGCGCAACTAGGTGGTTACAAGGGAACATGGTATAACAATTACAATGGAAGGGTCAAGTGCAACAAGTTAGGTAGGTCCGCCAATCTGCCTTGCAGACGGGACTTGCAGATTAAGTGCAATCCTATCAATGCATAATATTTTTCAAGCAACATAATTAAGTTCAAATATAGGCTCAAGATGTTCAAAGGTGGCTTGCCTTGCTCGAGATCTTGAGCTTGATCCTCGAAATCCTCGCACTGCGGGTCTTCGAGCTCCGAAACTACACGCGAAACGGGATAACTCAGCAAACGGCGAAAATAAAGCCCTATTATTGACCTCTAAGCGTGCCATTAGATAGATCTCGAGATTGGAGGAATTTTGGAAGTTGAACGGAGACAAACGGACTTACGGTTGGGAAGATATTGAATTTCTTAGATTATTGGATTTTTGGTCTAAAGGAAAAGGATTTATTTAAATCCTTTTTGAAAAAGAAAAGAAAAGAAAAGAAGGAGGGAGGGAAATTAGACTTTCCTCGGGCGGCTAGGGCGCAGCCCGAGAGAAAGGGGCGGCTCGGCCGAGCTTAATGGGCCGGCCGGCCCAAGAAGGCGGCCCAAAGCGCGCGGGCGGGGAGGAAAGAGAGAGAGCCGGTGGGCCGTGTCCATCCCGCGTGGTCCCCGGTAGGACCCGCTTGTCGGCGACTCGGCTCACCGTGAGCGAGGTGCACGCGGGCCGTGCTAGGGTTTAGGGAAGGAGGCGCGGCGCATGCGCGCGGTTCACGGAGGACGTGGTGTGGCGGGCCCACGCGCAACCTCTCGGCTCACCGCGGACCATGCGCAGGGGGGGGACGGAGGGAGCGGCTGGCCGGGTCAGCCGATCCGGTCGTGCCGAGGTGGCTCCGCCGTGGCGCCTACGTGGCTGCCACGCGGGCCGGCTGGAGGACGACGAAGGTGCCGACCGTGAATGGATGGCGGGCGGCGGCGGTTTCTCCGGGACGCCGTGCAACGACGAGGGGCGACGGGGTGTACACCGGGATGACGAGGGAGAACGAGAGGGAGCAAGCCAACGGCTTGGATTCGCCGGAGGGAGTTCGTCGGCGGCGGATTGCGGCGGCGGCAACCGGCGGAGAGAAAAGGGGGAAACGGCGACGAGGTCACGAGGGGCCGATTCCTGGCGATGAGAGCATCTACGCGGCTACGGGAACCCATCCCTTGCGCCGGATTAGGAGGAAACGCATCGAGGGAGGCCGGCAACGAGAGACGCTTCCGAGCTCGGGCGGCGACGGCGGCGAGCACACGGCGAGCGACGGCAGCAGTCGGGGCAGCGCCAGCTAGCTACTGGGGTACTACTCGAGCGGCTACTCAAAGCTAAGGGGAAGAGATGGAGCGAGGAGGGAGAACGAAGGGATGCACTACCGTGCGGGACGGGGCGCAGTGACGAGGGGCCGACGGCGCGGGAGTGTTCTCTCCGGCCTCGGGCCGGGGAAGAGGAAGAAGACGAGCTCCTGGAGTCCCCTTCCGCGTCCACGGACGCGCCGGCTCCTCCGGCACGCGAGGCAACGAAAGGCGGCGGCGAACAGAGCACGGGAGGCGGCGACTATGGAGTGGAGGCGGTGGGACAAACGAGAGGAGAAGGGAGGGAGGGAGAGATGGGCTTTATAGGGCGGCAATGTCGGTTTGGAAACCGAACTTGGGCGGTCAAGTCGCGAGCAGGCGCTCGGCGCTCGCGGCCAAAACGGCGACAGAGGCGGATGACGCCGGCGGGGAAGTGAAAAGGAAAAAGGAAGGGAGAAAAGGGGCTTGCCCCCTTGCCACTTTGGGAAAAGGAGGAGGGAGAGAGGGCGATAAGGAGGAGCCCTGCCTCCTTTCCTTGGAAGCGCGCACGGGGAGAGGCGGGGCCGAGTCGACGACGACGGCGATGACGGCCGGGCGGTGTGGAGCGGAGCGGCGACACGGACGGCAGGCGCGGACAGGCGCGGCAGAGGCTGACGGCGGCGGCGACCAGGCGGTCGGCCACCACGGTACGCGCGCGCGGGAAGCAACGGGCGGCGCGGCGATTTGGGCGGCGCGGCTCGGGCAGCGAGAGCGGAGAGGGAGGGCTCGGCTCGGCGCGGCTCACGCGCACGCGTGCGCGGCGCGCGGGCAGAGCGGGGACAGAGAGAAAGAGAGATGGGGAGCAAGGGAGAGATGGGCCGAGAGGAGTTCGGCCCATTGAACCCGAGGGAGGCAAAATAGACTTTTGCGGAGGGATTTGATTTGGGAAGGATTTGGATTCGGGATTGAACTTGACGATAGATCGGGGATTTAAGATCTGAGATGGCACGGACACTAGACAACAAGCAAAGAAACAGATTTCGCAATTAGGGTTTTTAAGAGATAGTTTTTCCGCTAGGCGCCACGACGGAACGGGCGCTACAATTTGTGAGTGGATATGATAATAAGTTTCCAAAATTCGGGGAGGTCTTGCCCAATTGGAAAAGGAGGCACCAGCTGCTGAGTGCCGATCCCTTTGCACGGCAGACACATAACAAAAGCACATGCGGAAACGTCGCAAATTGAACTTATATGCTGGAGGATACATTTGCCATGGTAGTTGTCACACACACCTAACAGCTTATCCAACCCAGGAGAATTGCCCATGTTGCATTGACAGCCTTTGCGGGGTCATCACAGATGGCACCGCTTCCTCTTGCTGTTGTGCTGTCAACGAACCATTGGGAATCTTAAATTCAAATTTGAAACATGAAATTTATCTTTGTAAAAAAATGTGCTAGTTACATCATCTCTTATTCTTCAGTTTGGTTATGTGAACATTCCATAAGGAAAAAAAAGGCAGATACAATTTAATTTAGTCCATTGTTACATTTGTGATGGACTATCCGTACTAGCAGCTCCCAAGATCAGTTGTAGATGGGAGGTTTTGTCTTTAGTGATTTGGCATTTTCGTCGTGATGAGTGTCTTGGTATTCACAGAGCATGCCCATGAGGCAATGATCTCAATGAAACCTCATGACTATCGACTCATCATTGTCAAATCAGCTTCTGCGTCTCAGCTCCCAGAGATGAGGCTAACACTATAATGGAGTTGCTGCCTGTTCAATGACTAGGGATAGAGCCATGATCAATCATTTCGTTCATGGCAAATATTGAAAGAGCAGTCCTCGTACTGCTTGACAGCCCATGTTAATTTGATTCTTCGTAACCTTGCAACGTGCTCACATTATACATTAAGCTTAATGTCCCATGTTCGTGTTTTGTTCTTCGTTTTGAGATCGCTCAATGTCCAGTGTTTGATCCTCTCCAACGCGCTCGCCATCCTTCTTAAATCATTTGCACTAAGCTTAGGGTGAGTTTGAGGAGGAGGAGATTAAGAAGATTGGGAAGATACACAAACCGAGGTAAGTCATTAGCACATGATTAATTGAGTATTAATTATTTTCAATTTAAAAAATAGATTAATATGAATTTTTAAAGCAACTTTCCCATAAAAATTTTTTGCAAAAAATACACTATTTAGTAGTTTAGGAAACGTGCGCGCGGAAATCGAAACAAACTCACTCACTTTCTTTAGCTGCCGAACGCAGCCTTAGTCTCCCCTGTATTTCTCTTTGTTTGGAGACTGCCCTATAGTGCACATGGCAAGAGCTACTGCTCAGTATAGCCCCACGTCAGATTTATGTGTCCTATGTAACTGCAATTGGTATTTAATTGTTATGAGTGAAGACCAAATCAATATGCAAATAAATGGAAATTACTGCAAATCTGCACCAATAGTTCCATACCAACTTACAATTAACCTATATGTTCTCTTACAAATTAGAAAAGAAACGCCACATTTTACCGCCTCCATGTAAGGGATAAGGGAAACAAGCAATGAACACTGAACCGGTCAAGTCATGCGTGCGACTCCACTCCATCCATTTCCTTGGTCGAAAAAACAGTGTGTAGTGAAGGCAAGCACAGAGCCAACTTGCCACACAACGACAGCTGTTCATTGATCTTCCTAGCTGAGCTGTTGACAAGGATCACAAAGTATATAAGAATGCTCACTCATCATATATTTAGCATCTAGGGAGATTTTGTTTCTGATATACCCAACATCATTGGCCTATTTACCCTCCACAAATATTTTCCTTTACCAGGTGGATGTTACGTTCCTGAAAACACTGAAGGCTCGAATGGTCCGTACTCAGTAGCATATATGTGATAGTTTCACTTCACTGAAGGCAAGACTAGTTTTTCTCATTGGTTTGCTCGATATGCCAAATTCAAGTGGTGTTGGGATGCCGGTGGCACCAGACAAGGGTGTGCATATGATTCCCCAGCTGCGTGTGGCAACACAAGGCTCGGAACCATGAGAGAGTGGGCATGTCAATGCAACAGTGTAGTCCATCTCTAATACCACTGTGCATGGGCCAAAACTTGTCATGCTGGATGGTGATTAATTTCCAGCATATAGTTTGTTCTTGGACGTCCATGGAGCTAACCAAGTCACACGTGCATATAGCTCATAGAGCTAGATAAGTTGGATCAGGTTGAAGTTGATCTGCTTAAGTACGTATAGCCTCGTGAGCAAAATTCACTAACGAAATACTCCATCCATTTTAGGTTATAAGATGTTTTAACTTTAGTCAAAATTAAACTGCTTTAAGTTTGACTAAGTTTATAGACAAATATAGTAATACTTACATTACCAAATTAGTTTTATTAAATTAATAATTAAATATATTATTATAATAAATTTATCTTGGGTCAAAAATATTACTTTTTTTTATAACTTAGTCATATTTAAAACAGTTAGACTTTTAACAAAGTCAAAATATCTTATAACTTGAAACGGAGCGAGTACACCTTTTTCTTCATATTAACATGTGTTCTGACTCATCCTAGTCACATGCATGCCCTCGTTTGGAATTATTATGAAGTGAAATGTGACAAAAGTGTGGATGGAATTTTTATTCAAATGAATTTATTTTTCTTACCTAAGGTATAAATATTTCACAGATGTTCCTTCGACGGTAAATAAATAGAGCCTCACTTGATAGGAGAAATGGGTGTGCTATCCGTCCTCAAGTCTTCTTTCGGCTAATTAATCAGATGCAATATGATGCTAAGTTCCTCCTAGTATCTTTATTCCAATATTTAAAAATTTAAAAAATTTTTTGGTCTTGCCAAGTAAGCCTAAAGCTATTGCCATCCACCATTCATAATAACATTGTCCGTTTTAGTTGCCCATGTGCATATATATGCACCCTGTACTGATGCCAATACAGGAATGGGCTCAGATAGCCACGAGGAACAAGAAGATATGATCAAACCCATAACCAGACGTGACCTTGGAAAGTTGGAATCGACGGTATTAGGAAAATATGTTGGTCAAGATGTTTGCTTTCAACCACTCCCAACTGTGGTTACTGTTCTTGGGCGTAGTATAGCCCGTCGTAGTCGCTCATTCAAACCACAGGTGTAAGTTGTAATACCACCTGCCACTTGAGAGAATACACCCACTGTTATGCAACAACTGTTCATGTCACTACACCATGGCCAAGTGTTTATAGCAATACAACTGCCCTTAAAAATAGTTTGTATGGCAATTCATCTGCCGGTAAAAGGCTTTCCTGGCACTTACTAACTGCCCTACAAAGTCCTGTAGGGAATGCTCTTAGCCGGCAGATAACAAGTTCCTGGCAGTTAACTGCCGTAGTTGCAATTCGGTTTCCCCGGCAGATGTTCACATTACCGGCAATTAAATGCCCTAAATGTTTGAAACATCCTCAGCACATCATTCAATTATCCCTGGCAGTTATATGTGTTTGCTGGCATGATTTTTTCACAAGGCATGCATGCACCAAATCAATTGTACGATTTGTAAAATAGATAAAAATTCAGATTGCAGACATTAATTCACCATGCATTCAATAGTTCAGATTAAACATACATCCATCAACACTGTATAAAACATTCCACTGTAGAATTCCAAATCAGAACTTCAGAAATAACAAATTCATAAGTAACAATTCTATTGCATCTAGGATAGCAATATATACATGCATCTGCATAGAGCATATGCATACAAGAGTACAGACAACTTTTAGCATTCATTAAATTTAAGTCATAACTTCTCAACAAAGTTTATCGAATTACTCTACATTGAAGTGGCATCTCTTCTAGATAATATAAATACAGAGAGAACTTCATTGGACAAGTGACATCTTAAGCAGGTCTTTATTGGACACGTGATATCTTTAGCTGGTCTCCATTCAAAAATAACTTCATCAAAAAAATCTTCAATGGACAATTTCTAGGACAAGTGACATCTTTAGCAGAACAATTTCAGTAGCCCTTTCGATTTTGACCTAAAAATAATGGTTTGAAATCTGTGAGCAATATTGCATGTAGAATATAAAGAACTATATATCATAATATAAATACATTCTTGATCACAAACTGACAAGACACCATGCAAACTGGCCAGGATCAAAGAAACAAAATAGCTACATATGCAATCAATGTATATTATTGAGGTCACTTGATCATGTAGCACCAATAGGGAACACTTCAGACTGTCCAGGTTAACAGTCTATCCAGACAACATAATATCACAAGGATAGTGTGAGATGGGAAATCACATCAGACCACTAATGGTTCTAGCTCCATATGCCCTTCTCACTGTAGCACATGATCGACAACATAACCTCCCAAAAGGTTTCATGTGGATAAAATGTTCTAGGTGCGGTCAATTTGACAAACAATCATAGGCGGTCCTAAAATTATCAGGTAGAATTGTACCTAGGAAGGTCCATTCATCTCTTATCCATATAGCTGATATTGACAATCAAATTTCACAGGCCACCTAAATTATTCTGTGTTTCAGTGGTGTTTTCTACGCACGCGTACAAACCATTGTGCTCATGGGAAAAATAATAAAAAGACTTTGCACAAGACAAACATAACACATAGATATAACATTTCAGCCTTTAAGCACAGTACTGATGGCAAGTTGGATGATACTAACTGTGGTACGATGTTTTTTTAGATCTCCATCTCGGTAGATGCTCAACAACGTAGGTTGATTGTAGCAAAATCGATAGTGGCAAACTAAACTGCACCATAAATCCAAATAGTTCACATTTAGAAACAGATTATAACATTTCAGCCTTTAAGCACAGTACTGATGGCAAGTTGGATGATACTAACCGTGGTACGATGTTTTTTTAGATCTCCATCTCGGTAGATGCTCAACAACGTAGGTCGATTGTAGCAAAATCGATAGTGGCAAACTAAACTGCACCATAAATCCAAATAGTTCACATTTAGAAACAGATTATAACACTGACTTAAAATTAAATGCTTGCGTTAATAATTTCAAGGAACTCCCAAGATATCAATCATGCTACAGAGTGCTAGAACATTAAAGTGGTTGCCCATTTCCAGATCAATATAACATTTAACGAAATCGTTATGTAGGAGTACAACAGGTTACCTTCCTATAAGCTATGCTCATTACATGACCGACTTTATTGAAACAAATCAACTTCCTATAAAAAAACTAGAGTAAAGTCCATCACCGGTCCCTAAACTTGTACCGTTGTGTCATCCCGGTCCCTAAACTCGCAAATCGACCGTTCAGGTCCTCAAACTTGTTTGACTGTGTCATCCCGGTCCCTAAACTTGCAGATCACTCGTTTAGGTCCTCCAACTTGTTCAGTTGTGTCGCCCCAATCCCTAAACTTGGATTTGAATATCATCTGGATCAAATAGGACGGTCTAAAGACTTTATATTTAAAAATAATTCATAACTTTTTCATGTGAACTCTAATGAAGACAAACTTTATATCAAACTTGTAGCCCACGACGCGATCTAGAACTTTGTAGTTGAATTTTTTTTAATTGTAAGTCATTTTTTGTCCCAAAATGTAATTTTAAAATTAAAATTTCAAAATCTATAAACATGAAACAATATTTTGGGACCCTAAACAGTTTTAATTCAAAAACTTTTCAACTACAAAGTTGTAGGTCGCGTCGAGGACTACAATTTTGATATAAAGTTTGTCTTCATAAGAGTTCACATGTAAAAGTTATGAATTATTTTTGATATAAAGTTTTTAAACCGTCCTGTTTAGGGACCGAGGTGACACAACTGAACAAGTTAGAGGACCTAAACGAGTGATCTGCAAGTTTAGGGACCGGGATGACACAGTCGAACAAGTTTGAGGACCTGAACAGTCGATTTGCGAGTTTAGGAACCGGGATGGCACAACGGTACAAGTTTAGGGACCGGTGATGAACTTTACTCAAAAAACTATATTCATCCATGAGCATAGCTTATAAACAAACGAAATTGATCGATGAAGACAACCAAATTACCAGCATGTTATATGCAGGGCAGAGATATAACAAACAGATTTGTAGCTTGCATATAAGGTGCTTTATACTTATAAGTAGACATACAAGACAGAGGGTTCCTCATGTGTGTAATATTGGCTAACACAAGTATTTAGCCCTAACGCTTCAGGAGTCATTGCTGCCATGATGCACATATTCAGAGAGTGAAGATGAAATCTCCAAATTCTAAAGGTATCAGAATTCAGGTGAAAACTACAAGAACATAGATGGCCCTGAAAAAATTCAGGTGAAATCTTTTTACTACTGTATCTCTGAATTATGTTCATGTATGTAGCTACATATATAGAGTTACAAGCTGCCAAAGAGCATTCCATGGTTCACTGTTTCGTATCAAGGCATGTGCTAAAATTAGTGAGCTGGTAGCCCAATCTGGCTGGTGCAGTGTACTTACATGCAGACTAATTCAGGTAAATCACAGGCTAACCAGGCCTATCAGTCAACAAGTATGAAATATGTCAGGTAAAAAACATGCCGTGCTAAGGGATTACTGTTCATAAGCTCAAACAACACCATGGTTACCTCGTTGATCTAAGATTCATGGCTACCTCCCTTGTCATTCTCTCAATTCTAACACCCGAAACAAATTCTGATTGCAATCGGTGCAAAATTCGTTAAAGTACAGAACAAGCAAGCTGGTCAATCAGTTACCCTCGAATTCTAAGCAACTAATGGCTGCAAGTTCCCCTCCAAATCCATCATGCAAGCACCAATATGCAGACAAATTAAGTAAATCACAGGGCAAACATACATCTTATAGGCAAGGTTGTAAAAAGAAAAACACATATAACCAAGAGATTTGATTTTTACCTGAACAAGGGGACTTCCTTGATGTCAGAAGAGGAGGTGGAGGCAGGCACCGGAGGCGGAGGCGATGGGGAGGCGGCGGAGGAGGTGGGGAAGAGGGTGGAGTCAACTGCGGCGATGGGAAGGCGTTGGGCGGAGGAGCCGATAGCGGAAGCCGGCATGCAGGTCGAGTCGGAGGTGGGGAGGAGGGGAGGGTTTGAGTGGAGTCGGAGTTAGGGAGTAGCGGCGGCCGGCCGGTGGAGTCGACGGCGGCGTGGGGCGGTGTGGGTGAGGCGGAGGGGGCTGCATGGTGGAGGCGGCGCGTGGTGGGAGAGGAGCGAGCAGGCGAGGGGCGCCGGATTTGGCGGAGGAGGTGGTGCGCGGTGGCGGGGGCGCGCGCGGTGGATTTGGCGGAGGAGGCGGCGGCGCGTGCGGTGGATGGCGACAAAGGCGCGCGCGGTGGAAGGGGGCACGAGGTGGCGGCGCCTAGGGTTTTTTTTGCGTCGATTTTCTTTTTGGCGTGGATTTTTTTTTGGCGTGGAAAAAATTTGGGCGATTCTTTTTTTTATTATTTTCCTGCGCACCTAAATTAATTTGCCACCCGAGTATACACCTCACTCTATCTTAACCATGGGATCAAGATCTGACGGAGTTCAGCGGAGATAGGGGAGATTGAAACTCGTTTTCCGCGCGCACGTTTTTCAAACTATTAATCGGTGCATTTTTTGTAAAAATTTTCTATAGAAAAATTGTTTTAAAAAAATCATATTAATCTATTTTTGAAATTTAAAATAGTTAATACTTAATTAATCATGCGCTAATGGCTCACCTCATTTTGCTTATCTTCTCAATCGTCTCTTTTCCTCTCCTCTCAAACACTCCCAGATTTTCATGACATATAATTGGTTTCTGCTCATAATATTGCTGAAAGATATTTTGATCAAAAATATTTAGATTTGCCGACATATAACATGTCTTATTACATAGCATTGCCAACACATAATTTGCCAAAAGCCTTTACCAACAAATAGTCTATCAATAATTGTTAATCTTTACCGACAGATGTTTGTTGATAATCTAGTGTCAGCGGCGCAGATGAGGAATCGGGTGTGGAGTAGGACTATGGCACAGATGAGGAATAGGGTACGCAGATGGGAGTGGAATCAAGTGTGGCCCACGAAAGTTTTCGCACCTTGGCGCCTTGCTCGGCCCAATAATATTTTTAGCCCGCCAAAATTTCCTCAAAAAGTTAACTGGAAATTTGTTTTCCCGGTAACAAAATTCCCGGCAGATTATGTGTTGTCTTAAATTATCTATGGCAGATCAATTGACCTGTTATATTAGTTCATTGGGCACTTAATTTGCTGCTCTATTTTTTTAATTCCCGGCAAATGAGATAATGTCCAAGATTATTTCCGGCACTTGATATATTCCCGGCAAATAGTTCGCCACTAACTTCATTTTATTGCCGGCAGTTAACTGCCATGAATACTAGGTCATGGTGTAGTGTGCTGGCTGGGTACTGGATAGACTATCCTGTCCGGGGATTAGAAATTTTGAACATTGTTTGATGCATCCAGTTCTCATCAGATCTGTCCGTTCTTCTAAATAGATGATAATATACTGTGCAATGAAAACTCGATATATGTACATGCAGTGTTGTCAAGCGTGATGCTTCACTTTCGTAGTTAATTAGTTTGACAATTTAAATGAAAATTTTGGTGCCATTCAGTAAGTGAAATTCTTGTGTGTCATACACAGAGTAAAGCACACACCGTTTCCACGTTCACTTGCATTGATCATGTCTATAATTATGAACAATTACATGCCGGCTCCTTCTTAACAGTATTTCAGTACTTCAAGCATGTCTAGCTACTAGCTAGCTTGATGTTATCTGTTATATACTAAAATCTATTAAACTTCCTACAAACGCTCTTAAGCCGCCACGTGGCACTCCTACAAATTCTCCTAAGTCGCCACATAGCACAATCTAATCTCACCGTCGATTTTCGCTTAAATTGGTGGACCCGTTATTGTAGGCCATTAGATCAGATCTATTATTAAAAAATAATTACTATTGCATTGTTTATAACATATGAGCGCTGTCTGTATGTATGATTTTGTACGATACAAATACTACTGCTGTTCTTCCCGTATGTATACAAACGTACATGATTGTGAAAACAAACGATAAAATTTCCTAATCTTCGCTGGAAGAAAACAAATACACATGTATACATAAAAAAGACAGAGAATTTATATATGCATTCATAAAAATCAACGGTCTTTTTAAAATATGATTTTCTACAATATAAAGATAAAATATATTACTTCAAAAATATCAATATGTTTAGTTAAACTAAGATCTATAATAAATATTTAATCAATGTTCCTTTAAACCATCTTCTAAATCAATCTATTATATACTAAAAGTACATTACTTTGTACAAACACTTTTACATCGCTATGTGGCTCTCAAATAAATTAGAGAAATCATTGAAATCTTTTATATACTAAAAGTCTATTATATACCTGCAAACGATCCTACATTGTCACATGGCGCTCTAATAAAATTAGAGAAATCCAAAATATTTAGAGTAAAAACAGAAAAGCATCCAACCTTATATTTTTCACTTAAATTAGTAGACCCGTTATTTTAAACATTAGATTAGAGCTCTTAAAATTCCCATGCCACTAATCTCTATCCCGGGAAAAAAAAACATAAAGTGCTTATGTCGTACGATCGTCTCCCTCCCAAAAAACAAAACTTAAATACCTGCATTATATACGATCGAAAAAACAGTTAAAGCCAAAAAAAATAAAAAAGAAAACATGCACTAGAATCAGAAAGAAATACTAACAAGGAAAAATCATCAGTGCCGGCACTGATTTGTTGTCAACAGCCTTTAATCTACGATTTTATTAAAATAATACTACACAGTTAAATTTAATCATAAACTTATTGTAGTGATAAATATATCATGACAAATGACACCAGCATGTAATAGCAAATGCAATAATAATGTTTCAAATAATTTCATATCATATTTTATGGTGTCAAATATCACAAATATAAAGCGTTAACTTGAATCTACATATGTAAAATAACAAAACCTAGCATTTTTTTAAGTACATCTATTTAGGTTTATTTAATTTTGGAGAGATTGAGATTCTCAAAGTATTTGGAATTTTTTCAAAACTTTTCTTATTTGAGCTGTGAGAAGCATAATTAATAGATTGATGAGAAACATTAAATTAAATTTCAGCAAGTGATAATAAAACAACATAATTTAGATGTGATTTTTAAGTAGATCTTTTTAAGTTTATTTTGGGTGAGATTGAGATTCTAAAAGTATCTGAAATTTTTCAAAACTTTTTTATTGCTCTTTGAGGAGTGAGAAGCATACATGATAGATAGATAATTTGCTACAATACAACCCTTAATTCATCACAAGAATTATGTATTTTCTTTGCCAAGTAGTATTAGAAAAATATGAATAATCCAATAAAATACGCATAAAACTACTTATGTTATATTTTTTATAGTTGATAGAGATTCTAATATACCGGGTATAATTGATGGACAAATGTTATACACCACGTAACTCAACTGTAAGTGCACTCTAGCAAATTATTTAATGTAAATAAGTTTGTGAAAATAAGTACATTCTTAGTATTAGTAAATGAGTCTCGTATGGTTGCTTACAACATATGGTGGAAACAAATTTAGCGCTAAAGTATAAATCTTTATCAAAATATAAATAATGATATGGTGTTTTGCATATTCTCATGGTGGTATGTCTCTTTAGCTATAGTTTTTATTAAGTAGTGTCAAATGATTAACCCCACTCATTTGAAATACATAATATTGTATGTATTCCATTAAAATTTGAGAAGTACTTATGACCAACTTCATATGAAAAAAATGCATTTTCATCACCTCCTCCTTTCTGTCCCTCTATGCTTGAATGCAGGGTGCAGTACTTGCTATGCCATCGTAAATATTGCATGGGTATGTACATGGTTGAGTTAAGGTGGTGTCCGTGAAAGGCCACCATAGGCAGTGTAACTAAAGTGACATACTGATAGTAAACTAAGTGTTAAAATTGTACTCTAGGATGGTTTTTAGGGGTATGGCTACATCGATGCGGAACCTATATGTTTCAAGGCATTACATACAAAAGCCTTCGTTCGCAGATACAGTCGACTTCATCCATTAGAGAGGCATTCATGTTTATTTTAAACAAAGTTATCGTATTATTCGGTAGATATGGTATATTTAGACTATTTATTTATATCAAGATGCGAAAATAAGTGATGAACACCGGGTTATGCAGGTAGATGAATTTTTTAGTGTATTGATAATGTATTATTTGTTTTAGTGGTACTAATACAGTTTCATTTATTAAAAGTTGACCTAACTCTTAAAACAATGATAGTAAGTAGTGATGACAAACTACAAGTTTATATATGACCAGGACAAAGGTATTTTTATTTAAATCTAAGAGATATTCTTATCATGTTAGAAGTATATTAAAATCTACCGTCTATTTTATGGTAAATGTATTTCTTTTTTTTCTTATTGTAGAGTAATCTAAATTCTCTTACAGTGTGTGTCTCTCTCTATATATATGATTCCTTTTAGCATTATTTTTTTAATAACAAATAAGATGCCTGTGCATATGTGTGAATTTCCTTTCCGATTTATATTCCACAAATGTTCTCCGGTTCATATCCTGTCGTTATAGCGTTTGAAACACAAACTATAATACATGCCCGCACGAATGCGCGGGCTACCTTCCTAGTTATATAAAAAACATGTATAGTTCAATTAGCTCCGAGAGGCGAGAGCTAGCATGCATTCCAGCCGGTACGCATAGTTAAATCCTGGTTGAAATATTCGCTTCTCATGCATGAAACAAGTTTTAACGATTGGAACATTTATAATTTTTTATCAGAATATAATCATGAGAAATCTTGTTTTAAAGATGTAATCGGATTGCACCTTGGATAAGTAATTTAGAAGAAAAAGTTATTTGAGTCTTTTAAATGAGATGGTTAATATATGGGGAGAAAAGAGAGTGGTGAAGGAGAGAAGGCAGTGCATGCATGGGAGACAAGACAGTGCATGCACTAATCCAGTGTCTAAGCAAATCTGGCCAACTGGGATAAATAGCGCACAATCTTTTGGCATCGACACTACTATATGGGGGAAGGACCGCCTATAAGCAAAGGCTAGGTGGCCCTCGCTGGCGGCATATCTATCTTCGCAGGTGTTATATATCCAACTGCATGTGAAAATATTCTCAGCGTACAAAAAAATCCACCGTCACCACCCCTACTCGCCGGCACCGCTGCTGGCCTCCCCATCCGGCCCCTCCTCCTCTGTCCGGCGCCACTGCCCGAGGGGAGCGACACCTCCACTGCCGCCGCCGGCCAGCTCTCCTCTTCCATTCAGATCTGGGAGGGGAGGGGCTGGCTCTG